GTCACCATCATGCCCAAGGACATCCAGCTGGCGCGCCGCATCCGCGGCGAAAGGGCCTAAATTTGCCTTGCTAGCTTTATGCCAACTTTAAAACCCAAAGGCTCTTTTCAGAGCCAACCACTTTATTCTAAGACAGATGCCGTGGCACTCAATTTATTCTTCCATAAAGACCCAGCACCAACTAGGCATAGTCCTGAAAGGCCTTTGAGGACCGTCGTATAATTAAGTTCTCCCTACAAACTGGCAGTCTCCCGTAAGATTTCAAATACTAATTCCACAGTTTTACTTTAAACATCTGCTTTTCTTTATTTTAAACGCAGGCATAGTACATTTAGGTTTTGGTTTTCAGGTTTATTAGCTTTTTCCTTACCTTTAGATATAGCTAATTTCATCTTTTGTATGGTGGATGTTTTCTTGGTTCTTGCATTCTATGCCCTCTTCGAAGTTTAACTTTTTGGGCAGTTGCAAGGGTTGACCCGTTAGTGGCTTTTGGGAACTAGACAGAACCTTCGACTAACAATTCAAGGTTTCCAGGTACCTTTCCCAGAGGTCGCCTTGTTGAACACGCACGACCCCAAGGGGCCAGAACACTTGGTCTGCCCTTTGCCAAACATAATCTAGGGCCCAACTCCCTAGAGACCGCCAGGACCTTGAGGAGGGTGATCAAGGATATAGTCCAATGCTTTTAATAGGGGGCCAACTCTTTGGTTATTAGCTGGGGACGGGGGACGGGGCGCGGGCGGGGTGGGGGCGGAATAAGTAAAGATCTCAGCTTTCCCTGCGGGCTTCTTGGCCTCCCTCTTTACCGGGGTCTCTAATACAGGCTAAGAAACCAAGTACAGCAGCTTGGATGGGGCTCAGAAAGTACCACTGGGAGTGAAGAACACAAGGATTCGGATCCCCTCTAGTGATACTTTTTTGTTGTTGTTGTTAAGATTTAATTTCAGTAATATCTACACCCAGTTGTGGGCTGGCTGGAATTTACCATCCTGGAATGGAGATCAAGAGTCACATCCTTTGAGCCAGCCAGCTGCCCCTTAACTGATATTCTTAAAAGAGGCTCTTTCAGTTTTCCTAAACTCTCTATATTATGCTCTAAATTAAATTTCACGAGAGTACCTCATATTTGTCACTAAAGCATGACCATCCTTTAGAAGCTGGGTAGTTTTCTTGCAGAAAATAATCTGTTCTCTATCCCTATAAGAAAACGGTTTTCTGTTATTACTCATTCAACAGATAATCCTTTCCCATGGAAATAACAGGTTCCTCAGTTTTTAAACTGGTAGCCCAATAGAAAGGAAATTGGGAATTCTCTTCTGAAACCATTCGGGCAGTTATTTGGAATTGTAGAAGGATATTTGCTAATTGAGATACTGTATGCCATTTGGAAGGATTTCATCTATTTATATGCTTCTGGAAATTTAACTTTGGAGATGGGAGAAGTTATCCTTAACTATAGAATTAAGAGGCCTCTGTCAATTTTTTTATGGGCTGTTTCCCCTCAAAGGATCACAAAGGAAAGAGATTAGACAGGTGGTACATTTAACAGGGACAAAGCAGTAAATAAGGTACACAGACAAGTTAGCCATAGTGAGAAGTCCTGGAGATTTTATAGAAGAAATATTTGTTCTTGGAACTCTGTCCGACAATGAGACTTGGGAACGTGGGAATAAGGATTCTAGGTCTCTATGGAAAAGAGTGTAGCTCTCCATAACTGAAAGCACTGGAGTATTGGATACTTGTAATGTTGGATAAAGACATTCATGCTGGACTGTGGTTTCTCAAATCCTGTACTGTCTTTAAGATTCTAGCACAGTCAGTTTTTTAATGTGTATTTCTCTCTCACCAAATATTGGTTGTTAAGACATGAGGACATGGTGACCACAGAAAACATTTGTCATATCATTAAATGCTATTTGGAAGGTCTAAAACATCTGGATTGGCCTTTTCCTAAAACAAATGCTCAGAATTTTTTATACTTAAATTGGACTTTAAAATAAAAAATTAGGGTGCCTGGGTGGCTCAGTCTGCTATGCATTTGCCTTCAGCTCAGGTCATGATCCTGGACTCCTGGGATCGAGTCCTGCTTCTGGCTCCCTGCTCAACAGGGAGCCTGCTTCTGCCTCTCCATCTGCCTCTCTGTCTCTCATCAATAAATAAACAAAATATTTTAAAATAACAAAAAATTAAAAATTATTGGAGAAAATGGGTGCCTACGTGACTCAGTCCATTAAATGTCTGCCTTTGGCTCAGGTCATGTCATGATCCCAGGGTCCTGAAATCAAGTCCTACATCAGGTTCCTCGCTCAGCACAGAGTCTGCTTCTCCCTCTGCCCATGCCCCTCACCCCTGCTCATGCTCTTTCGCTCTCTCTCTCTCTCTCTCTCTCTCAAATAAATAAAATCTTTTTAAAAATGGAGGAATAGGGGCTTCTGGGTGGCTCAGTGGGTTAAAGCCTCTGCTTTTGGCTCAGGATATGATCCCAGGGTCCTGGGATCGAGCCCCGCATCAGGCTCTCTGCTCAGCGGGGAGCCCGCTTCCTCCTCTCTTTCTGCCTGCTTCTCTGCCTACTTGTGATCTCCGGCTGTCAAATAAATAAATAAATAAATAAAAATCTTTTTTAAAAAATGGAGAAATAGATTACTGCTTGGTACATTACTGATTACAGAAATTAAAGATTAATTGAGTTCATGTAATTTTAATATATAATTTTCCTAAGTAGAAATAAATTTAATGAGTGGGTCACAAATTGCCAGAAGTCAGTTATTAAAGCTCCAAAATATAAGGACAGTTCAATCACAATCTACTAATATTATCTATTATATACAATTATTATTCTATTACTGCTTTACAGATAAGGAAACTGAAGAAGGTTTCAGATAAGGGGGAGAGCCAAAACCTTTTCCATTAGGCATTACTATATTAAACAACAGCATCAACATAATACTCATCACTTATCCCTGAGGGCTTTATTCTTAGGAAAAGCTGCCAGAGGAAGGCTGACATCTTTATCTTAATTTTTTCATAACTGCTAAAGGAAATGGAATGATTTTGAAAATTTACAGGGTCCTATATGATTGTGAAGTTCTACTATACTATAATTATAACACCAGCTGCAAAAAGATATAACCAGTGCACAACAATAAAAATATAACATGACTAGGGAAAATTTCTAGACTTTATCTTCACCATTCAAACACACTCATGTTTAAGACACACACACATACACACACACAATTTTTTTTTTATTTTAAACGGTATATGTTGAAATAGTAGTACTTGTTATCAAATTTTCTAAATAAATGTTTATTTTATTGGAGAAGGATCACAAATATGATTCAGGTCACACTTCATATGTACCTACTGGTATACAAAGTTGTAGATCCATTTCAGGCTAACATGGTTGCCTATGATGACTAAAAGTCAAAAAATTCAGAAATTCCATTTCATTCTGCATTCCCAACCTACCACAACTGCCCATAGCTAAATATTGGTATTTGATATAAAGAGAGTTTTTTACCATTAAAAACTATAAATATTTTTGGTTTTCTTTTTGTAGTAGCCCCAACACATGGGGCAGCATACTTCAGGAAGTAAGGGAAATAATGTATAAGTCAAGCAAAGGGGAATAGGGATATAAAAGGGGCAGAGAGATTTATTATTCTTGGCTTCCCACATAGAAAAACAGAAAACAAAATTACTCAATCTGCTTAATATCTGGGGATAATCTCACCTATTGGAAAAAATTAAAAACTCAGTCCATTCTAATGAGATAATCACTTCACTCCTGTAAGAATGGCTAAAAATAAAAAGATAAGAAACAACAGGTGTAGGCAAGAATGTGCAGAAAAAGATGCACTCATGCACTGTTGGTCGGAATGTGAACTGCTACACCACTGTGCAAAACACTATACAGCTTCCTCAAACATTAAAAAGAGAATGCAACCCAATAATCACACTACTGAGTATCCAAAAACTATGAAAACATTAACTCAAAGGGATACGTGCACCCTATGTTTATTGCAGCATTATTTACAATTGCAAAATTATGGAAGCAGCTCAAGTGTCCATCATCAGCTGATGATTGGATAAAGAAGAGGTGGTATAGATATAAACACTGCTTGGTACATGGTACATGTGTACTTGGTACATGTGTAAATGGCGGGGCGCCTGGGTGGCTCAGTGGGTTAGGCCTCTGCCTTTGGCTCAGGTCATGATCTCAGGGTCCTGGGATCAAGCCCCGCATCTGGCTGTCTGCTCAGCAGGAATCCTGCTTCCCCTTCTCTCTGCCTGTTTGTGATCTCTCTCTCTCTCTCTGTCAAATAAATAAATAAAATTACACACACATACACACAATGGGATGTTCTCAGCCATAAAAAAGAATACAATCTTGCCATTTGCAACAACTTGGACAGAGCTAGAGAGTATAACACTAAGCGAAATAAGTCAGTCAAAGAAAGGCAAATACCATACGATCTTATTTGTATGTTTCATTTAAGAAATGAAATAAAAGAGCAAAGGGGGGTAGGAGATAAGGAGAAACCAAGAAACAGACTCTTAACTATAAAGAACAAACTGATAGTTACCAGAGGGGATTTGGTTAAGGGATGAGAGAAATAGGGGATGAGGATCAAAAGTATACTTCTCATGATGGGAAAACAAAACAGAACAAACAAACAAACAAAACCCCTCAGTCAATTAAAAACACACACTTAGAGAAGC